AAGAGACTCATGTAATGGTACAAGATCCCAATGATGAATGTAACTGTATTTTATACCTAAAATGTACCAATAAACTTAATGGGGGGGGAAAAAAAGGTAAAGTCTGTACTGAAAACTATGAAAAATTACTAAGAGAAAACAAAAAAGATATAATTACAAATACCATTTTCATTTAGAATAGTATAAAGAAGTCAGCTTTTCCCAAATTGATTTGCAGACTTTGATGTGATAAAGATTGTGTATCACATTAAGATGTTTGTTGGGGGAAGAGAGAGAATGGAAATTAAAGATGATTTATGCTTTCAGATATTAAGAGTAAGAATATAACTAAAAGTATGGTGCAGTATTGGCATAAGAATAGACAGACTCAGGCCGGGGATTTAGCTCAGTGGTTCTGCAGCCTGCCTCGCAAGCGCAAAGACCAGAGTTTGAACCCCAGTACCAAAAAAACAACAACAACAAAACAAAACAAAAAGACTCAGAACAGAGTTAAGTGGTGTCTTTCAATAAATGATGGATCTGAGACCTAAATATAAATGATAAAGCAGTAAAGTTCTCAGTGAGACAAAAGAATAAATTTTTCTAAAATGGAAAGAAGAAAATAATGATTATTAAGAGCAGATACCAATTTAGAAAACAAGGATACCATATATTCTGTGATTCCGTTTAAAATTAGCTCAGAAATAGAAAAATGAAGCAACAAGGTTAGAAATCCATGTAGTTATCATCTAGGACAGGAGATGGGGATGGATAACAGCCACCTTCAAATGATGGCTGGGAAGTACACAAGCAGAGCTTCCGGAGTGTGCTGGTGCTTAGTGTGTCAGCAGTGTGCAAAGCATGGCCAGTGTATGGACAGCTGGGTAATTGAGACCTTTGTAGAGTCTTATGAGTTAGAACTTTTCATAATAACATGCATTATTTGTCTTTACCTTTATATGTGCACTTTTCCCTGGTCTGGCAAGAGCAGTGGTGTGTAAACCTGTGACCATCTTAGCACCAATCAAGGCAATACCATCTAACTGTACTCATAGTCATCATATTCTTCGCTGCCATGTACTCTAATTAAAAGTTTTACTTATCTTAGGTAAAGCAGGAAAAATAGTTTTATTAATTGTGACCTTTGAGTACACATCTTTTTAGTATTTTGTGAGAGAACATCGGGAGGGTGCATAAAATACTTCTACACACAGAACTGCAGTGGTTACTTCAAGGAAAAACATTTGTATGGTTGAGTTGAAAGCTGAACTAGCTACTGTTTATGCATCACTGTTTCTATGTGAAAGAACAGCTGACGATGATTATTTAATTTGGAAATCTGGCAGATGTTTTCTTGAAAATGAACGAACTGAGCCTGTAACTTCAAGGAAAACCATTGACAGTATCTTTTTCCTGTGGTAGAATTTGAGCTGTTAAGCAAAAAAATATAATTTCAGGAAATGTATATCCACTACAACGAGTCTGTTAGCTTCCCAGTCTTTAGAAAGATGTCTCTAATGAGTTAGGGGTACTGTTAACAAATGTAAATTTTTTTATGTTATGTGATGAAATACATCAACATTTAGAAGATTTGTGTGACTTAGTAAATCATTTTCCAGATGACCAGTGCATGCTGTTATAAAATTATTCATGGATAAATGATCCATTTAAAGTACAAGGTAGAACAGTTGATTTTAATGGAACAAAGTATGAATCTTTATTGCTATGGTTCAGATTCCACTTTACAACTAATTTTTTAAAAATTGCCATTTATTGTGTTTTGATCCATTATCAAAGGTGACTACCAACAGTTATCTGAAGTTTGTTGAAACATTTCTCCCTTTAGCAACTTTTCTTTCAGACCACCACTTCAGCAACACATGCAACAGATTTTATGTGGAAGCAGCCCTGAGAACCTGTTTTCTATTAAGCCAAACACTGAGGTTTACAAAAATGTAAAACAATACCACTCTTCCTGTTTTATTTATTTTATGGGGAAAATAATATTATATTAACATGTAATTGGGTTTGTAATTGTTATTTTTAAAAGAACTAATAAAAGATATTTTGAGTTTTAATTTTTAATATGCCCCTTTTGGTAGATGTATCAACATGAACAAAAGGTCCGCTCTTTAATTCTTAAAACTAAAAAGGGATCTGAGATTAAATTTTAAGAGTTGTCCCTCTTAGTCTGGGTAGTAATCACTAGCCATACCTATGAGTATACCTGTTTTGCAATGAAAAAGTAATTTGTTCCAGGGATTTAGCTCAGTGGCGCCATGCCTGCCTTGAAACTGCAAGATCCTGAGTTCAATCCCTGGTAAACCACACCCCCCTAAATAATTTGTGCATTTTACTTATCAATGAAATGTTTATCCTCCCTCTAAATAAAGAAAATTTAGAGAAATTATCTAAAGTGTTGGAGAGTATTTCTAGCTTTAGTGATAGGTAAATGAGCATGGACAGGAAAGAATAAATGGCCAAGAAAATGACCCTGGGATGCTTATAATTTGTTGATATTGTTTTATAGTTTTAAAAATTATTCCTAGGGGCCTGTACCAGTGGCAGAATTATAGCATGCATGCTGTAGCAGGCTGTTTGTTATCATTGAAATCTCTAAAAGGTTTGCCATCGCTGACCTATACCATCTTTATGAAATTTACATGGAAAATATTCACCAGACAAATCTTTGCCAGAGTTTTCTTTATTCCTTGTTTCTACTCGTACTTTCTTCCATTATGTATTTCCTAAACAACTGTTTCTAGCTAATGAGCTTAGTTTTTTCTTAAGTATGAGACATATATTGCTGGTTGTCTGAGTATTCAGTCTCATTTGGCAGATGTTAGTGAGCATTGTTGCTATCCCGTTTTTAACACAGACAGAATGATGGTCAGTTGGTTACTAAATTCAGCAACTGTTAATTAACTGTATACTGAACAGAAGGCACTATGTTGTTTGCGATTATTGGGAACTTGAGGTTAACAGTCTAGTGGTTAAAAATTTGCTACACATTAGTTAAATTACAAAGTCAAATATATTAACCACTTACTAGTCCAATTTGGTCATCCAATACAGGATGACCAAAAATTGCATTTTTTTCATTTATTTTTCAAGATAATGTAACAGAAAATATAAAAATGACTATCAAATTTATTCAATATAAGACTCAACTGGTTGAAATGACACCTGCCTGAACAATGCTTGACACTTGGGATAGTCAGTACATAAACAACTGCGCTACCCAAATAATGCTCAGGTAGCCATTAACCGTTAAGTGGTTAATTGTTCTTATGTAAGTATGAACATTGAAGAGTTAGTAATAGTATCTGAACAGAACCGTGAAAGATAATTAAGGTTTTCTGTTTTAAAAATACGTTTTTGGTTTCTAATTAAAATTTATGTTTGTTATAGACAAATTAAACTACTGTAAAAAAAAAAATACACCTTGTCAAGGGTATAAGTCTACAGACGTCCCCAGTCTCTGCCCATTAACCATGGTTAACAGTTTGACATAGTAGCCCTTCATGTCTGATGTGTATATTTAACATATTATTTCTAAAAATTAGATCAATTATGTATGGCTTTGTATGTTGGACAGTTACATTCCCATTTACAAATACAGCACCAGTGCCTAATATTTAAATCTATTTTTTGTGTTACATACTTTGGTGATGCCTAAGATCTTGATAGAGTAGTTTTTCTTTAAAAAATGCATTGTAGAAATATTTAGCAGTAAAAATCTAATTATTAACTGTACCCGATAAATTGAATTTATATATTTCCATATAGGCATGTCCTTTAGTTTGAGAGTATTGAGAAAATTATTTCATGTTGAACATGGAGCAGGCAATGAGGACATAGAATAGGGGTAAATGCTGAAGGAAAGACCACTGATGTTTTTCCTGCTGTATGCTCAGTTTTGTTTTTGTAGGGTTGTTTTTATAGTACTTGTTATTGTAGGAAGTACATATTTAGTTTTTATTTCTTTTTCATTCTAGGTAACATTGTACAATACCGATCAGGATGGTAGTGATAGCCCACGCAGTAGCCTTAACAACAGTCTCTCAGACCAGAGTTTGGCATCTGTTAATTTGAACAGTGTTGGAAGTGTGCATAGTTATACACCGGTAAGTCTTAGTGAAGTTAACTTTTTTGTTGGATATTCATTTACTGCTTAAAACTAAAACATAATTTAAATTTTAAAATGAAGATATGTATTTCTCACTAACCAATTTTTTAGTAACACAAACTTCTACCTTGATAGTATTTCAATTTGATATTTGTATTTTACATTAGTGTAAATATACTCTTGTGTGGTACATACTCTGATGTACTTTATTCTGCATCTATGTAAATTCAGTTATAGTAGGAAAAATGGGCTTAATTCTAGTGGAGCCATACTTAATGATACTCCACACTTCTTGGGAAGAAGGTTAGAAGATGTGTGTACTAATTTGCCTTCTAGCTATAGATCTGAGAAAGGGATTCAAAGCCATGCCGAAAAGTGACCTGTGTAAGTGTTCTTGTTTTTATGCTAATTTGTTACCTATTACAAGGGCACAACACTTGAGTTATCCGATAATTTCTTTTCAAACCATCTGGCTACTCTTCTTAACCGTTGGGCAGAGACCAGAGCCCAACAACACACCCTGTTGTTCATCAGTGTAAATTTGATCTCATCAGATCACTTCCTGTTCCAGGATGAGTAAATTAGGGAGGAAAATCAAACAAGCAAACAAAAACAAACCCAAAAACATCCCCACTGGACAAAAATATAAAGGGAGCTGCATGTGATAAAAAAATAACACAAGGGAACAAAAATTCAGACAGCAGAATTAAAGTTCACATTGAATGTAGGAAAGAAGAAACTTGATTCAGCAAAACTGCTGTCAGTGCTCTGGAAAAAAATTATTCTCTCAGAATGCAGAAGAAACAATTAAAATTGTATAAAAAGACATAATAAATATGGAGAACTGAAAATTATAGGTGTCTCTTCAGAAGAAAACAGAAAAGTTGGTAGAGATGCAGTTTTCAGAAGAAACAGGTTAACGAGGTTATTGAGACCTAGGAAAAATTAATAGGAAATAAAACTTATATTTAGACATACAGCAAATTCAAAAATTTCTGAAATAATCTCCCATATAAATACCTGTTAGAAGAAATGTTAAATATAAAAAGCTCAATCAGGCTTTTCTTTAGTAATGCTAAGTGTCAAAAGATATAAGGACTAGGTTTAGAATAACAAATACTAAACCCTGGCAAATTTTTATTCATAGGTGAAGGCAAAGTAAAAAATGTTCTTTGATACGCAGAAGGGTCCTGCCCTTGTTTTCATGTATCCTCTCTGAAAACTACTGGTTTTAGTACCTCTAGTAGCTAAGAAAATTAGAGTATACTCAAAGCTCTTACTCAAAAAGGCATAGTATTTGTATATAACTATTCATATCCTTCATATACTTTAAGTCATCTCTAGATTACTTATACCTAAAAGTGTAGATGTGATGGGATAGTTGTTACACTGTATTGTTTAGAGAATAATAAGGGAGAAAAGTTGGTATCTGTTCAGTACAGATGCAGGATTTCCCCCCCTGAATATTTTGTTTGTGGTTGGTTAAATCCGTGGATGTGGAACCCGTGAATGCAGAGGGCCTACTATATTTAGTTGATTAAGAGGTGAATTAAATATTCAGTAATGATGAAGTCATAGTACAAAAAGAATTCTTGGAGCATTGAAGCAAACTAAGCAAAATTAAAGATTTTAAGTTGTTTTAAAAAATAATTTAAGTGTAAAAAATAAAGACCTATTCCAGTTTTCTGTAGGGTTTTTATCATGAATTGGTGTTGAATTTTGTCGAATGCTTTTTCTGCATCTATTGAGATGATCATATGGTTTTTGTCCTTGGCTCTGTTAATATAGTGTATTACATTTATTGATTTACATATGTTGAACCATCCTTGCATCCCTGGGATAAATCCGACTTGGTCAGGATGTATTTCATCTATGTTCATTAGGGAGATTGGCCTGTAGTTCTCTTTTTTGGTTGGGTCTTTCCTTGGTTTTGGAATCAAATAACACTTGCTTCCAGGAATGAATTTGGAAGTATTGCTTCCCTTTCAATTTCCTTGATGAGTTTAAAGAGTAATGACGATAGTTCTTCTGTAAATGTCCTATAGAATTCAGCAGTGAAGCCATCAGGACCTGGGCTTTTCTTTGTTGGTAAATTTTTTATTGTGTTTTCAATTTCACTGATAGAATTTTTATGTCTTCTTCATTTAACTTTGGCAACTTGTATGTATCTAGGGATCTGTCCATTCTGTGTTTTCCATTTTATTAGAGTACAGGTACACAAAGTAGGTATTGATAATCTTCTGGATTTCTGCTGGATCTGTTGTGACTTCATCTTTTTCATTCTTAATTGCATGAATTTGAGCCTTTTCTTTCCTTTTTTTGATAAGGTTGGCTAAGGGTTTATCAATTTTATTTATTCTTTCAAAAAACCAACTTTTTGATTCATTGATTTTTTTTTTTTTGTATCATTCTCTTAAGTCTCCATTGCATGGATTTCTGCTCTGATCTTTTTTTTTTTCAGCTCTAATCTTTATAATTTTCTCTCTTGTACGAGCTTTGGGTTTGTCAAGCTCTTCTTTTTCTAGGAGCTTGAGGTTCTGCATTAGGTTAAACTATATGATTTTTGGTTAAGTTCTTTAGCTTCTTTGAACTCTTTCCTCTCTTTAGTTGTGTTTATTTATTTTTGGTACTGGGGATCAAACTCGGGACCTTGTGCTTGCAAGGCAGGCAGCGGAAACACTGAGCTAAATCCCCAGCCCAGAGTACAGTGATTTTGTTTTTTGTTTTTTTTGTACTAGGGCTCAAACTCGGGACCTTGCACTTGAGAGGCAGGTGCTGGAACCACTGAGCTAAATCCCCGGCCCTCCCCTGTTTAGTATATATAGGTGTTGGATTAGATTCCTCTGGTTCCTTAAAATCCATGTTAATAAGTTTGCTTTCTGTACTTATAAAGGTGTACCCATGTAGCAGATGTTCAAAGGCAGGTTCTTTTGGATTCCAGTGTTGGCACTTACGATTTCAGTTACATACATCATGTAACAAACCAATTGTAATACAAAGCTACTGAGTTACTTGTATTTTCTTTTGTTAGGTGACAAACCATCCAGAACCAGTCTCTCAATCATTAACTCCCCAGCAGCAGCCACAGTACAACCTTCCAGAACGAGACAAGCAACTGCTTTTCTCAGAATATAATTTTGAAGATCTTAGTGCCTCATTTCGGAGCCTTTATAAGTCAGTTTTTGAGCAGTCACTTAGTCAACAAGGTGAGTTTTAAAAAATCTTTTTTTAATAAATTTTTATTAAAAATACTCATTTATTTTCACACAGAAGCTATTATACTTCCTTGGTTTTAGAACATTGCCATCCTGATCAGAATTGGATAATTAATGTGCTTTATGGATTTACTATGCTCTGTATATATTTGTATTATAGCACAGGAATGGCAGATTTCCTCTTGCATGCCTACTTTACATGTTACTAGCATCTGGGAGCCCTGTGTTGAGGAATTCTGATTACTGCTGTGCCATGTGAGAAAGAATGCCATGATTAATTAGTGATATTTGGTAGGTAAAGTGTGAGTGGTGAATGTTGTTCTATAAGAATAGATGGTCCTGCCTTTGCTCTGGTTTGTATTAGTAAAGAGATAGCCATTTAGATACAGTAGCACCAAGTTTGTGATTTTGTATATGGCACATATAAGTGCACATATTGGCTACTGGTAAGCTCTGGTTATTTTACACAACATACATAAATGAGATTCTAATCCTACAAATGGTTTTAGTTGAAATGCAGTGTTCTCAGCCAAATGCTAGATGAGTGCTATAATGTGTTTTGTCTCATTAGCTACTAGTTTAATTTTAGTCAGACATGAGATCGGATCAAAATGTCACATTGCCTTTCTTTCAGAGAACAAGAGCCAGGAATTATTGGAAATTCTATCATTGAAGCATTTCCTAGTTAATTGTTTATCAGATTAACTATTTATACCCCATGCCTCATTCCTTGCCTGTTGCTATAGCAAAATAACCCGAGACTGGGTAATTTATAAACAACAAATATATATCTGGAGGCTGGGGAATTCAAGATCAAGGCAGTAGCAGTAACAGTGTTTAGTTCAGGGACTGTTCTTATAGATTGCACCTTTAGCTATGTTGTCAAATGCTGCTGAACACTGCATCTTTAAAAAGCAGTAGAGATAAAAGGGCAAAGAACTAGCTAATTCCCTTGAGCCCTTTTATAAGGGCACTAATTACATCCTAAAGCCCACCCCTCCACCACCACCACCACTTTTTACAGTACTGGGGATTGAATCCGGGGCCTCATTCATTCTAGACAAACACTTTAGTACTCATCTTACATCCCTAGCCCTTTTTGTTTTGTTTTGAAAAAGGATCTTGCTGAGTTGCCCCTCTAGCCTCAAACTTAGAATCCTCATACTTCTTACTACCATTTGTCACTTTGGGATTAAGTTCTAACATGAATTTTGAGGGAAGCACGCATTCAGCCCATAGCACCCCAATTCAGAGTTTGTCTGTTCATAGCAGTGAACAAAATAGATTAAAATTCATAGAATTATACAGTTTATATTTTAATGTTTATCACTGTCAAATATTTGAATACTGATAGGTTGTACATGAAGTGGCTTTTTCTGGTTAATATTTTTGAAGTAGGAGTCATATGTTTTCTCAGATTTTGTCATAAACTTTTTACCTATGAATGTATAAAAAGAATTAATGGGGCCGGGGATGTAGTTCAGTGGTAGAGCACTTGCCTAGTGTGACTGGTTGACTCCCCAGCACTACCAAACTAAAAAAAAAAAAAGACTTTTGTAAGCAACCACAACCTTTGTGACCATAACAAAAATTATTTGCTTTAAAAAAAGCAATGGTGACAATTTCTGAAGCCCACAATTACATGTTATCACACAAAGAACATTGATAAGAATTCTGGGCTCTTGTTCAGGTTCTTTAACTTTACCACTCAGAGTCCCAGAACCTCTATTTGTAAAATAAAGCACATTGGACTAGATTGGTGGTTTTCAAATTGTTCCCTCCAGAGTCCTTGGCTTTTTTAAGGGTCTCAGAGGCTGAAGGAGGAAGAATGTACTGATGAGGAGGGAGTTAAAGCAGGCTTCCTTCTCTCATTTAAAAACAGCAGCTTTATTTTTTTTATGTATTGAGCTTCTAGAAAGATATTTTGCTTTGAAAAAAAAAAGATATTTTGCTTTGTTTGATTTTATTTAAAAATAATTGAGCACCACATTTCAATTTCAGATTGAAAATGGTGGTATAGGTTACCTATCAGTTCAGTCCCCTCATAAAATGCAAGGGTTTTGTTTGGGTTTGGTTTGTTTTTTGAGATAGGGTCTCTCTTCAGTCCAGGCTGGCACTGAACTTGTAATCCTGCCTTGGCAACCCAAGATGTGTACTATGATGCCTGGCTCTCTGGTAGAATTTTACAGGAAATAGGTAATGAAATTACTGCTTTATCTTACTGTAATAATTCTATCTATTCCCTATAAATGAGTTTTCCAAGTCCAGTGCAAGAAATTTTTTTTTCCTCTTTTTTTGGGGGGGAGGGGGTGTGGTATATCATTAGGGATCAAGCCTACAATCTCACACATGATAGGATATTACTCTCCACTGAGCTGTACCTCAGCTCAGGCACTCTTATGAACTCTTCCATCTCTAAAACTTGTTAGGTTATCTTTCAGTGTACTCAAGTGCAATTTTACTATTAAGGGTAAATAGGACAGTTTTATCTATGTTAAAAAGTTTGATTCTTTGACACAATTTTGTGGAATTTTTCTTTGATTTAATACAGTTTTTCATGTTTGGTATAGCAAAATATTGTATGGACCATTCTTTGGGCTATGAAAGTAGTTTAGTTATATATAGAACCAGGTATTGTAGTGAGGTTTACTAACTACCTGCATAGCAAACATACTATTTTAACAGTAGGCACTTCTGGACTAAACGATTAACCTTTACTGAGTTCTTCTTGCACTTGCCCTGTGGTATTTAGTCTTCACAACAATTCTGTGGAACAGAGTACTGTCATGTCCATTTATAGGTGAGACAGTTGTGGGTCAGAGAAGTTAACTTTGCAAAGTTAGTATGTGTTAAGTGGCAGTGTGAGAGGCTTTAAAAACCCTTTGTGGTACTAAAAAGCATGCAGTTTTAACCCCTAAACTCTATGTATTTCAAGAATGTTCCATAAACTAGATGTGGTTTCACATGCCTATAATCCCAGCACACTGGGAGGCAGAGGCAGGAGGAAACAAATTAAAACCCAGCCTAGGCAACTTTATGATTTAATACGACCTTGTCTCAAAATAAAAACTAAAAAGGGAGTGGGGTTATAACTCAGTGTGGAAGCTGTGGATACAATCCCCAGTACTGCATCAAAAAAATAAAAAGTTCTATAAGAGTAGTGAAGAATAGTGGAGATGGCCATTTTGTTTTGTTTTGCTTAGTCTTAAGGATTTGAGCCACTTGGGGCTTAAAGTTTTTGGAGTAGTCAGAGGTAAGAGATAAGAGAGTAGGAATAACTGGGTTTTATCTTTAGTCAAAAATTTGGGCTTGGCCCAGGGATTTAGCTCTGTGGCACAGTACCTGCCTGGCAAGCACGAGGTCCTGAGTTCAGTCCCCAGTACCAAAAAAAAAAAAGTTGGGCTTAATACCTACTGGAAACCATTGTGAGTATAACCCAACATCTTTTTCACTTTTTTCCTAATGCTTGTTCAACTTTCAAGACTCAATTTGGATATACTTCAAGGAGGGCTTCTATGTGTCTCCAACCTCACCCCTACTTCCTAGCTAAACAGACAAGGAGCGAAACTCCTTTAATCCTTTACATACTTTTTGTTTAGTACTTACATTGTTGGACATAATCATAAGTGTCTGTCTCTTTCACTAGACTATACACTGCTGTGTAAATAATTTTTGCAAATGTTTTTTGTAAAATACAACTGAAATTGACCACAGGTGATCTTGTACTCTCTGTTTTTAGGTTTGATGAACATCCCTTCTGAATCTTCCCAGCAGTCCCATACTTCATGTTCCTACCAGCACTCTCCTAGCAGTACAGTGAGCTCACATCCACACAGCAACCAAAGCAGCCTGTCCAACAGTCATGGTAGTGGCCTCAGCACTACGGGCAATAATTCAGTCACACAAGTCTCTCTGTCTCATGCTCAGTTGCACACACAGCCGTCCCCACATACACCCCACCGACCACATGGCTTACCACCACATCCGCAGCGTCCTCAGCACCCAGCCCCACACCCACAGCAACACAGCCAGCTCCAATCACCTCCCCCTCAGCACCCCTCTCCACATCAACATATACAGCACCACCCAAACCATCAGCATCAGACGTTGACACACCAGGTACCCCCACCTCCGCAACAGGTATCCTGTAATTCTGGTAAGTTTTCATCTCCTGGCTTACGTTTGGCTAAATGTGAGCTAAGATCTGTCCTTTGTTATTTGGGCCTTATGTGGCAATTACTAGCAATACTCTTTTCACCTGTCATCTTTTGTGTTTTCTTGCTATAATCCTACAGTTATAAATCAATCCATAGGTTCATCTAGATGTTTTCTTGACTAAAATTTGTGGCAGCATAGGCAAACTCAACAACCCTTGCAGGTCTTAATTTTAGCTCTTACCATTTTGTCCTTTTGGCCGTTGCTTCTGATGAACATTTGAAAGGAGAGAGGAATGTACATTCTGTCTACAAGCATGTGATGCCTTCTGGTTATAAAGAAAGAGTAGGTTTATGCCACAAAAAACCTGTATTTGAATCCTCATTATGGCTCTTATGACCTTGGGCAAGTTACTTCTTGTAGCCTTGTTATTTTCTCATCTATAAGAGTGGAATGGTGTGCAGTTTTATGTAGATGATATTGAGACTACAAATACGAAATGTCTAGACCAGCATGTTTTCATTTAAGTATTCATGAATGTTTCCCCTCTTTTCTGCCCTTCCTGCCAGGTATCTAATAGAATAATAGGTTGCAAGGGAAGAAATGTTCTTTATGTCCTGCTTTTAAAAATATATTGCTGGGCCAGGGCTTTAGCTCAGTGGTTCCGCTGCCTGCTTAGCAAGTGCAAGGTCCCAAGTTCGATCCCCGGTACCCAAAAAACTGACAGCAACAACAAAAATACATATATATTGCTCTCAAGATACAGTATCACAGTTTCTGGCACTTCTCACAGGCCAGGCAGTCTTTGTACTATGCACATGGACTGCAGGGTGAGTTGAATGGGGCCCCTTAGAGTTATGCAGTGTTGAGGTCCTTTTTCAGCTTGCCTGGATGATTACTTATCAGCCATATCACTTAGGAGATTTTTATCCTGGAGGAAAGATTTCTGAATCCTAGACAGTGTTATATCTCATTTCATAAATTATTGTTTTCAGCACTTAGACTATTGTCGTGAGCTTAGATGATGTGTGAGATTTTTATATTGTGATTTTGCTATAAAGCTTAAATTTTCCTGAAGCTGTGTCTGTATTTGCAAAATGAAAATGAAAAACTAATAACATTTTTGGAGGAAAATTAAATGAAATATGATACAAAAATGCATAGCAGTATACCTTTAACTTAGTCAACGGTTTAAACTCTTTTAGAGTCAATTACTATTGTCTGCCTTTAAACACTAATGTATTCTTCAGAAATTTAAGCCTATTACTACTATGATTTGGGGGATAGACAAATGAGTAGAGATGGGGTATCAGTAGAAGACCATGGTGCTCTGGTCATGCCTGCCTTTTCATTAAGTCTGCAGCTGTGATAATAATTTATCCCTGTGAATTATATACTTCGTATTTGTAAGATGGGACTGAGCATGTTAAAGCAGAGAAGGTATGAAAGTTGAGGGTCTATTACGTACTAGGCAGTTTAGATATATTATCTCATATTGTCCTCCCAACTCAAGTATAAATTACTGCATTTTATAGATAGGAAAAATGTAATTCAAAGTAGTCAAGCAGTTTGTTCAAGATCACACTGCTGATAAGTGGTCAAACTGGCTTTATATATTCTGGTCTGACTTTGAAGCCTGTAATGCTAGTTATTCTGAAAGGCTAATCAGCAGACTAAGTGGGTAGATTTATTGAGTGAGTAGGGTTTGCTCACCTCACTCTGCAGAGGTTGCTTTGTTATGGCTTACCAAGTCAGCATGAATTAAGTGTCCTCCTCCCACTACCCCCAAGGAAAAAATTATTTTGGCAAGAGTGAGTGCCCTAGTTCCTTGGCATAATTTTCTTTCAGTGGGCCTTTGTGTTACCCTGGCTTTTTGACTGTGTGGTATTTACCTCAAGAGATCTGGACTCTGATACTGTTTTGGCTGTTTTATTATCTGAGTTTTAAAAATTATATAATTCCTTTGAACCTTGGTTTTCTTATTTATGAAGTTCTCCCAGATTAGAGGATCTGAGCCTCATAGATTTGAATGTTTATGACGCGTTTGGGATATTAGACTCTTATTTCTGGCTCTGGTTCATTATTTTTAAAAATCTACAATTGGCAAAACTTTGTAAGTTGGGTAGCCATTAGTGGACTTAAGTAAGAGTTTTCTTATGATGTATCAAAAAAAAGTCCTTTTTATTAGTTTTTACCTTCATCCAAGAGTGATCTGAATATTAGCAGAATAACTTGGCAGTGGTCCCTGAAAGGATGAATTTCTTCCTCTATTCAGCACCATTTCATTGAAGGCTAGGGCCAGGGATTTAACTCAGTGGTTCCGCTGCCTGCCTTGCAAGCGCAAGTTCTCGAGTTCAATCCCCTGTACCAAAAAAGCAAAACATACGAACACCATCTCATTAAAGGCAACTCTTGCCTCATGGCCCCTGCCTGTTGACCAGTTGGTTGACATACAGACTGAAGTCTTAAATTCTCATAATGACATCACATCAGGAGATACCATTCCCATCTAGAAGTGTCCTGACCAAGATTCACCAGCATTTCAGAATTCTCAGTCCTCTCTTTCACTACTTTGTCAAAAGGATTGTGTTAAAGCATTTCTTTCTCCTAAGGTTACCTTGTAAGAAGGATCCACTCTTTCTATAAGATCTGATCTATCTCCCTTAAGTCACTGTATTACATTTTATTGTGTGTTGCTCCTCAATGCAACAAATTGTGTGTTGCTTCCTTTATAAGTAATGGCAAGCATATCTTTTAAGATCATAATAAGAAAGAAAAATGAAACTTTAAACGAGAAAATACTGATTTGCATGAATTTTCCTGCCTGTTCATTTATTTGTACTATACAAATGAAAAGAACAGCGCCAAGTTTTACATTATAAGATGGCATGGCAATTTGTAGGCTGCAGAATAAAGGTAGAAGACCTCTATTCAAGTCTTAGATTCGTCATGGGGTCCTTGTTAAACTGTGCCTCCTCTGGGTTCAGGTCTTTTTCTAATATGGAGAGAAATAACATCCATTTTGCTGGTCTCAAAGGGCAGGTTGTCTCCAAACCTGACGTAAAAGGTACAAGTTCCTTTCTAAAATGACAAGGATCAGCCAGTGTAAGGAATAATGCCAACTTATTGTCTTCCCTTAACAAGTTCTTAAAACTTTTACTATCTAAGAATTAAAGTATTGTCAATATCTTATAGGTGTTTCAAATGATTGGTATGCCACACTTGATATGCTAAAAGAAAGCTGTAGAATTGCCAGCAGTGTTAATTGGTCAGATGTAGATCTTTCCCAGTTCCAAGGTAAGCGTTGGTTCTTTTTGATCTATAAATACACTATCCTATTGTATTGAGAAGTTTGTAATTTTCTTTGTAGTAGAACAAACATTTCCTCATACAAAGGCGTTTTCTTCTACAATTGGTAATAAGCTTTAAAAGAGCACTGTAAAATTTATAATAAAATATTTTGGCCAGTTGGTGTAGCAGAGGGTCACAGACAAGTTCTGAAAGAAATTTGGCCATATTTGTAAGTATTGGGCTTTGAATAATCTTAAAATGTCATTTTTTTGTTGCCTAGACAATCATTACCATAATATGAAATGGACCAGTGGAAATTTTGATGGCTGAAAAAAAAAAATCATTCCTTGCTATTTTTCTTACAATAATTGCAGAACTATACTAACTGTATTTCAAATGCTTTCCTCATAGGTCTGATGGAGAGTATGAGACAGGCAGATCTCAAGAACTGGTCTTTAGATCAGGTTCAGTTTGCTGATCTCTGTTCTTCCCTTAATCAGTTCTTTACACAAACTGGCCTTATCCACTCACAGAGTAATGTTCAGCAAAATGTTTGTCATGGTGCCATGCATCCAACAAAACCTTCCCAACACATTGGAACAGGTACGGGCTTAGGTATCTTGTTTTTCTTTCTCATTTATATGAAATTCATTAATTGTTTTATGCAATTTGGTATGTTGCTAATGCTGACAGTGATCCATTTATATTTTTTTATTTGAAAGAAATGAATGGTAGCAAATTTATGTGTCTTAGAAAAACTGAGTTAAAGAGACTCTTTTGCTGTTGTAATCTATATGATTTATTACTCCAGTTAACTTTCCTTTGTGATCTTTAACCTTGGATTGTTATCAACACATATGTTAAAGATACTTATAAGAATGTAGTTATAAAGTTACATCAGTTTAAAGTTATAAATTTGTGGTGAAAATAATGTGTTATGTCTTCTGAGAGTGTTAAAATTAAAGTTTAAAGTTCATTTAAAAGAGTAGATGTAATGGCAAGTTCTCCTTGTTTGGGCTCTATAATGAGAACGTGGAAAAAATGAGAAATCCTGGCAATTTTATGTAAAAAGCCAATAAAAAGAAATGAAAAAAAATTTAAATCAGTTTTGTCTTTTGGTTGTGATTTGAACTCTAAGGATGTATGGAGAGCTAAGATTTTATAAGACAGAGTAGGAAGTTGACCTTATTCTGGGCTCTAAAATGTCATTTTTTGTTACATAGGCAAATCCTTACCATAATGTGAAATGGGCCAATAGAAATTTTGATGACTGAAAAAAATTATATCTTGCTATCATAAATGAACGACCCCATTACTCAAAGTGGTTTGGCCTTCCCAGCCAGGTGTAGTTTTTAGAAAATATACTGGGCATGCATCTGATCTGCACTTGGGAAAGGTATCCCCCTTCCCAAGAATATTAGAGCTGTAGCTTAACTTTTCTCCATTTTCTCCTAAGTCATCCAGTATAGTCAGTCAGAGAGCTATATTACAAAGGCATGTTGTCTTGGGGGTCAGTGACTGGGCTCAGAAGTTTGGGATTTTTGTTTCTAGTTCTGTCTCACTTCCTCTCTGGCTCTGTTTCCACAGCTGCATGAGCAGATGCAGGGTTAGGTTAGGTCATCTTAGAATCCATCTTAAGCCTGGACACAGGTCTAGCTTTCCATTGATAGGTGAACACTTGTGAGAAGTGAAATTCATTGTGCCTTACAATAAAAAAGATTTTTCTTCCCTTTTTAATTTTTTATTGGAAAGTGGTTGTTTCTTTGTTTCATGCAGCATTCATTCCTAGAATGCAAATTTATGTATTTGTGTGAAATATAGAAACTCTTAGGGAATTAGCCTTCCAAAATTCTAGATGTTGCTTACAATGTGAACCAGTTTTATGGCCCTTCTTCCTATGGGTTATGAGAGGAAGTCTCATGATTTGTTCACTATGATGCAATATAATTGACATTGTAATTGCATTATGATACAATGTAATTGACATTTTGGAGCTATTATACTTGATGGCTTCTGTCAATGAAAGTACATTAAGAACTTCTGAAACACATTTGAGTAAGATCTATGTTTTCCCATCTGCACACTCCATAAATAACACAATTTTAATCACCCTTGCTTGTTGTAGCACTTTTACCTTATGCCGATCTTTACTGTTTCTCTGTGTCTGCCATTCACTTGGTTAATTAAGTATGGCACACACAGTTGGGTTTCTTCTAGGGTAAGGAAATTAGAGCAATAGAGGAATAGGCATTAGTAGAAAGAGCTCATGAGTTAGGACAGTGATAGCGAACATTTTAAAGCTTTCAGTGATACAGACAGCCTGCTATGGCATGCATACCATAGGTTCACCACAACTAGGTTAGGAGATCTGGATTCTAGTCCTAGCCTGTCAAATTCATGAATCTTTGAGCAAGTCAGGTCAGCTATTCTGAGCTTCATTTGCCTCATCCTTAGAACAGGGATAACAACTCCTTCTTGCCCTTGTGGGCTTAATGGGGAGGATCAGATGAAGTAATGGATATGAAAATACTTTTGAACTGAATTGTAATGAGGTGTGTGACAACAGCAGTGGATATAACTTATATCCACTGGAATTAATAGCAGTGTACTCACACCCAGCCTGGTACTCTGTTCAAAAGCCCCGCCCCACCTTTTGGCAGGGACTTTGCTTCTGAAAGGAGTAATTTTTCCTTCCTTCTCCCTTCTCACTTTAGCCCTATAGTTTAGTTTTAGGCAACAGTTCCATTAAGATTTTAATGCTTGATTTATTTTACTTTTGGTAACATATCTCCCCTCTTTCTGCTTTTTAATCGATTTAGGAAATTTGTACATAGACTCCAGGCAAAATCTCCCTCCTTCAGTGATGCCGCCCCCTGGTTATCCTCATATCCCACAGGCACTTAGCACTCCAGGAACAACGATGGCAGGTAATGTAATGTATGTGTGCATGTGTACGTGTGTGATGTGTGCATGTGCGTGCATGTGTGTGTGTTGAGGTTGGTATCCAAAGTTTGATACTGAAAACCTTGAGCTGTCCCAACAATGAATAAGACTGCTTCGGGAAGAAATGAACTCTCTTTGGAGAAGCTGGAATGCAAGTATCTTTGAGAATATTTGACTTCGACAGGACTTTTGCAGGCTTGAAGAGCCTACTTTAATTAACTTGTGTGGATTCTGTTCCATTTATCCCCATGGAGTTTCCCCAAATACCGTTTCCAAGGAGATTTTTTTATAGGGGAGATAAATTTTAGGAGTTACCAGTACTAGTTCATAAACTTTTTCCAGGGTTTTTGAATGCAAGATAAGTTACATTTTAAGTTACATTTAGCCAGAGGATTAGGGCATATTGTTAGAGCTTGCAGGGATCTTAAGGAACACCTAGATAAGGAAATGGGGTCTCAGAAGGAAAGAGCTTTTCTAGGCCACCTAGTTAGATGAATGACTCAAAACTCAAGACCTGATATCTAACCAGGCAAGACTCAGATTACAGGCACACGCCTGTAATCCCAGCTCTCAGGAAGCTGAGGCAGGAGGTTCACCTCCTGTTTGAGGCCAGCTGGGTTACATAGCGAGTTCAATGCCAGCCTGAACTCTACATAGTGAGACCCTGTCTCAAAAAAGAAAGACCTGATGTCTAGATTCAGAGTGTGTCATTTTTCTCATATATCACACTACCCTTTACCCAGGCTATCTGAGGAAAAGATAAAAAGTAATTGGAGAGTGTGTGTGTGTGTGTGTGTGTGTGTGTGTGTGTGTGTGTGAAAACTTAAAATAATTGTGTACCAGGCAGTAGTGAATAAAGAGTTGGAACCAAGTAACATGTCCTCTGATGAAGGAATGTTACCTGTTGTGAGGACTCACTAGTCTAGTAACTTGTGGGTGGGATGATGTGGTAGTTCAGGCTCTGGAGCCAGATTGCCAGGGTTTGAATCCTGATGTTTACTACTTCAGAGCTATGAGAAGTTGGGCAGATTACCTAACCATTCTACCTCCACTTCTTTGTCTATAAAAGGAGGGCTGAGAGCACCACTAACTTCTGGGGGTTGTTAGGTGGATTAAATGATGGTTATGTAGGAATCATGTAAATCAGTGCCAGACAACACAGGAACTTACAAGTTTTTGTTAAGCAAAATGAAAAACATGGACATCTCTGCTGATACTATAATGTGCTGAAACCCTTAGTGTTTTATAAAATTGTGCATTAAAAAAATAGGATTTATGAGAAAAGTTACAACTGAGACTGCTTGAAATTTTGTAATTGGAGTACTAACAGAAATGATGATAATCCAGTAAAAACTCCACAGCAGTTAAAAAGATAATGCTTAACTTTTAATTAAAAAATGAATTCTGTAAGTATCAACCTCTGCCTTAAAAATATTGACATTGGTTTAGAAGGGGTCTGTCAAGATGCAGCTACAACAGCAACATGCCCTGAAACTGGGAAAACGAACAGACCAGAGGGAGCCAAGAAGAACTGGAGTGTGGCTGTTGTGGGTTATTCCTCCATGGTACACTACAGTCCAGTGTCTTGATACTATCTGTGTTCACTTGCTCATTTATTTGGTGGCCCAAAAATAAAGTTGTTGGTAAAATTCAGTCTGACCTAATCTGACTTCAGTGGCATGTTGACATTTTTCTCCTGTTTCATTCTTTTTTGGGGGGGGTGCACAGGGATTGAACTCGGATCCTTGCGCTTGTGAGGCAGGTGGCAGAACCACTGAGCTAAATCCCCGGCCTTCCTGTTTCATTCTTATGTACTCTGAAATGCGTTAGAACAGAACAAACTATAAGAAATGGCTGCATCAGCACTTTCTCATGCTTCCTTGGTACATCCTAGTACAATAGAAAGAGCATGGGTGTTGGAGTCAAGTGAACTGATGTCACATCTTGTCTCAGTCCCTTATTATTTGACTTGGGGTAACATGCTTGTTCTCTTAAACCATATCCTCCTTACTTAGATATAAAGATCATAAGAGTTGCTTTGTTAAAAGCTTCTAGGTGGATTAGTGGCACATTAGGAGATGCTCACTGAGGGTTCGCTTGTTTTCTTCCTTTCTTATCTACCCAAGCCTCTACTGACTTTGCCTTTTCCCTCCCAGGCCATCACGGAACCATGAACCAGCAGCACATGATGCCTTCCCAAGCCTTCCAGATGCGCCGCTCCCTGCCCCCAGATGACATCCAGGATGACTTTGATTGGGATTCAATTGTGTAGAGTGTGTTTCTGTAAAGCCTCGGACCCCACTGTCACTTTCTCTGCAGTAAAGAGAAAGGTTTAAGAGAATCCAGTTGAGAAAACAAGGTTCCTGATCACTTTACCAATGTTATCAAAAATTCTTTTGAAGACAATCAAAAAGGTTTTAGCTGGATAACTTAACTGCTTTTATCTGACCCAAACAAGTACTACATGTTTGTCTCCCTGCCTACTGCCCTATGTAGCTCCTAACTGTTGTGTGATTTGGACGGCTTTTTGCATATTTGTGTAAGTTTGATGTTAACCACAAGTGCCAGACTGATTTTTTCAGACAGAGCCTATTTTGCTGCAAGCAGTTTATAGATACATATGTGTAAATATATGTACAAAAATTACTGAAAGGCTTCAGTTTTTCTAATTGGATTATTATGTATTGAAAGGAAAGTTACTGTCAGTTTTTATTCCTTTTTAGGCTATTTTCTGCAGGATGCTTTTAACTAAGGTAGGAACTGAAAGGAAATATATTTCTCCAAAGCCCAGTTTCCCTCATTTAATCTTTTGCCAGAAATGTGGGTAATAAATAAAAAAGTCTATTCAGTAAATCAAGAAACCAAGAGCTTGATGCTCTCCAAATAATCCAGAGGGGCATGTTGTTCCTGAGCAGCATAAAGAACTGACCAAAATTGTTTTGATGTGGGGGAGTATAGAGTATATGTTGTACCTTGTTGATGTCTATTTCCTAAGTCTGAATTATAACAGCTCTGAAATTTGTTTGATTAGAAGATAGGCATTACTTGGGTCTATAAACAAATCAATGCCTCTACATTCGCTTATGTATTTATTATTCAAAAGTGTTATTTTAATATTTATTGCCACCTTTTGTGAATGCTCGGCTTTTATTGGGTTTGCTAAGGAAAAATGTGTCTGAAAGCATAGAGTTATTTTTCTTGGTAAGAGTTTACAGACAAGACAATCAGAGGGACATTTTGTCATTCTCTTTATCATCACTCCTTTTACCAGGTAAGTATATTTCTTTATGTTAGCATTCCTGCTGACCAAGACTTAATAGCTAAATTGGATTTTTCTGGAATTTGAATCAGAGTCCATTTGGGCGAGAGAACAGCAAGGCAGGGTTTATAAAGCAAGTTTTCCCACTCATTTTCTTTCTGTTTAGGAAGCACTGAAAAAGAGGTATGGCTACAAATAGAATTTATTTGCCTCAGTCTTTAATGTAGTTATTAAGTGGCCTGCTGTTGCTGTGTCCTGTCTGTGTGCACCTGAAATTTGGTCACTGTCTTTGAAAGGAAGCTCTTCGTGTAGGGGTTTTTAATTGTTTTGTCTTATCACAGTTCCTTTGCATGTATTGATTGTCTGAGTTTTATAATGCAGCTAGAAGAAACAAGATTTTTTTCCCCTAATGAATAGGTTTTGAATGGATTTTTTTTTGAATTTTTTTATTTTTTGAATTGATTCTTTAGAGCAACAACAGAAACAAAAAATCTTTTCAATTTTAATGAGGAAAGGGGTCTCATCAAATTGAGGAATAGTTGCTCACTGGTTGCTTTTTTAGCATTTCTGATTTCTTTCAGACATGTTAAATCACTTTAATTAGCCTTAGTGATTTCTTTGGTTGAGTAATCTCTACTTGAAATAAACATTTTTGTTTCCCTGTGTATGTATGTTTGAGAAAGGGAGAGAGTGTTTGTGAACATGTATATGTTTTTTTAATGGAGTGTTGCCTTCGATGAATAACTGGGACACCAGCCATGCTAAGGGCTTGTGAGGTGGAAGAAAAAGGAAGAGCTTTGTGTTTCTCTATTGTTTGGGCCCTGCTTGGCATGAAAAAGGAAGCTCAGTTCCAGTCCCTTGGATCAGTGAAAATCAGAGGATTCTGGAAAGGTAGCCAACAGGCTCCTCTTAGAAGGATCAAGGCAGGAAGAGATTGCAGCCTGCAGAGTAAAAGCTTGAAAAAGGCGGATGATTTTCAATAGTCTACTTGAGTCACTGTTTTCTAGACACCAAAATAGCTGTTTTAAAACTGAATTGCTTGGATAGCAATGTGCACTTTAAATAATTTGGGTATTGGAATGCAGCCTCTTAAACTGAATGATTTAGGTAGAACCACTGACCATGATTTTATAAATTATGTGAAGCTGATATCTCATTCGGCAGTCATTTATTGATTTTCAATGGTCAGTACTTTTATGAGTATTTAAACTTACCAAGAATGTTCCTGGAGGCAAAGTCTGCACCCACACCTGCCCCACTCTCCTGTGATCCAGGCAGCCCAGGAGCCCAGGACAGGCCTTTGCCGTGGACCATGGCCAGATGGGGTTACCTGGTGAGGTGCAGAGTCCCTCTAGTGGCCATTTCTCTTGGTAATTGCTAATGGAGGGTACCTTCTGTCTTGGGCTTAAATTAGACTTTTGGGGAAAACAATAATGCCTATAATCAGACATGGACACTCTGTCCAGGAGAATAATCCGACTGGCATTTGTGGCAGTTTTTGAAATGTAAATGTATTCATGTATGTTCTTGTAAATATGTGTCTCTCAAATGTCCTTTGAAGTGGGAGGGAATCAATCTGGGGATAATTTCAAATGGAATAGAGTATTTTGATATTGTGCATTCAGAGGGTGATGTGTACATACCTATATTGTATATATGTGATGAAAATGCATTGGCTTTTTGTGCAAACACAACCTGCTTTCTGTACTGATGTTGGACAGTGTTTTAATGTTTCTACAGTTTTGCTATTGCACGATTTCATATTCTGCCTCTATGATGAATGGCACCCATTCTTTGTAACTGTTTAGTGCTGTAAAGAAATATTCCAAGTGTCATTAGGATTGTCGCTGCCAGAACTGATATGCATGAATGGCACTTAAAATAAATATATTATGTTAACTCTATTTACAACACTGATTGTTCTTTGTCATTTGTGCAGCTGAGCTAGTAATTTAGAGCTGGTCTAGATGCACAAACCCCATGGCCAGGGCCCCAGAGCTCTTGGGGTGTTTGAAATTGTGTCCCAAAGCATTCCTGCCTCAGAACAGTGCATGCTGCCATTCATTGACCATCTCATTAGTTTGCGAATTTGAGGAAGTTAATCTCTCTGTGCCTCATTTTCCTCATTTATAATCCCATTATAAAACGAAGATAATAACTGCCTCCTAGAGTTGAGGTGTGGTTACACCACTCATTACATTTAAACATTTAGAATAGCACCTGGAGCACAAAGCCCGCTGGTGATGTTTGTGTTCTAGCTACAGGAACAACTCAGATCTGTCTAGATTTTTTAGTTGGCCAATGACAGCTGAGATTTGAGTCCAAGCATCATGTTCTTTTACAGAGTCCGCTCATCCCAAGTGAACTCCGCATCTTGCCCAAACCTTTGTTTGCTGTCTTGTCTCTGAACTGCCTTCCCAGAGAGCAGTTTCCAAAAAGTGACAGTAGAGGTTTTTTTTTTTTTTTTTTTGCAGAGGAGATACTCTGTGCCAGCCTTCCTGTGAGAAACCCAGAGATGAGGAAGCCACAGTTCCTGTCTTTAGGGAACACTGACTTGCTCAGGGCAGGGAGCAAATGCTAGCCCAGGGAAACTGGCTTGGAAAGCTACTCTGGAATTCTGCATTCCCCGGCAAGGCAAGAGATTCTGAGGGTGAGGGTTAAATCATGCTGAGGCTGGGGACAAGGTACAGGTTAAGGAAAGCCTTCTGGTGAGATGGCCAATTTAAATTGAACCTTCAAAGGTTCTGAGACAGATGGGAGAAGATATTTCTGTTGATAACACTACTTTGAGCCCGGTGTAAGAGCTGGATTAGCATGATTACTGTGGACTGAGATGGGAGGAGGATCAGGCTGCCAGGCATAGCCATTTTATGAGAGTGGTGGTGTCCTGACTTAATTGATACGGAAGCAGGCTCAGAGAGGTCAGGTAACTTGCAGGCCAGCCACACTGGGGGAGACAGAATTGAATCTTTCTTTTTTATTATTTATTTGTATTAGTAAATGTTCACAATACATAATAATCACATTCATTGTGGAAAGTTGGTACATACATACAACACATCTTCATCTTTTTTCATCTACTTCTCCACTCTTTCTCCATCGACCCTGTTAACTCTGGAAAAAGAACTTTCTTTTTGTTTTCTACTATGTATTTTATATGTTTCTCTTCAAATTATTCTTATTTTTTCATATAAGACAGACCATGTGATATTTAAACTTGCGAGTCTGATTTTTCTTTTGGTACCAGGGATCAAACTCAGGGCCTTGCACTTGCGAAGCAGGCAGCGGAACTGCTGAGCTAAATCCCCAGGCCGAGTCCAATGTTTTTAATTGTTAAATTGTTTCTTAGTAGTACAAGTTTGTAGTACATGGTGATTACATGTATGGTGAGGAGTTGGTACATGTACACTATTTGTAATACGGTTTTAACCCTTCCCCTCCCCTCCCCCTCCCTGAATCCACTGGACCTCTTTGTATATAGTTACATGTATATACTTTGTATATAGTTACATATAATACAGCCCACATGTTTGTAGTACATGATAGAATTGGGACACATTGTCTCATCAAAGAAGGAGGGAGCTTTCTCTTCAATCCCACAGTCTACCCAAGGCCTCTAGCTGCTACTAAGTTGACTTATGCAACACTGCCAAAAACATCAGTGCAGTGCACTGATGAGTTTTACTGATGAGAAAACTGAGGCTCAGAAAGGTTAACTTTCTGAAGTTTTCATAGGTGGTAGCAAAGCCAGAATCATTCAATCCAGGCCTTACTCCAAAGCTCATTTCCTTTATCTCCACTGGGAGAGAGAGTCCCATCACAATACGTCTGCTCATTGAAGGACTATAGTGGATGGCACTGTTAAATTTGTCACATTGGCTGCTTCAGATGTGGGTGGAGAACACATCTCCTGATCAGATGAAATAGTAAACAAGAGCATTAGGCTGGAAGCTGCATGTTTAATTTCTGAGGCATCAACATGTAACTTTGTGCAAAAGACTGTTCTTTATAATAAGATGTGATCTTTACCAGTTGGATAAAGCAGCTCTGGAGATAAATCACATAAGCAGAAGTTAGCATTCGAAGGATTCCCTGCATGTAAATGCCTGAGGATCATAGACCTATCCTGAAAGCTTGAAGCTTGAAGGGGCCTTAAAAAATCACCTAATACAGCCCACATTTTGTTGTTGAGAACACTGAAACCCTGAGACTGCAGTGACTTCCTCAGAGTCACACAGCTAGTTAGGGAAAATTTGGGGAAGGAGAACGGAGAGTCATTTACCTGGTAACAATTTAAAATCCTTGTACACATGGTCTTATTTACAATAAGCTGATGATATAGTACTGTTGCCCCATTTTACAGAAGAGGAAATAGCCTGGAAGAGCTGTCACAATGGAGTTGCATCATGAATACATTTAATCAAAGCTTGCAAGTTCAGTTTTACATATAGTACTTCGTCAAAAAGAGAAAAGGGAAATTTTAAATGTTATAGTGGAGTGTCCACTTAGGATGGCTACGTGACCCTGAGTGTGAGGTGGTGGATTGACATCTGAGATTGTAACTGAGCATGTCCCACTGAGCATAATTCCAGTGGCTGAAGATACCAGACTTACACATTGCCCTTGGTTGCAAACCAGCTCCTGCATCTGGTGCTTAGAGATAGATTGCAACTAGAAAAACTAGCCATACAGGGCTGAGACATCTTTTCCCACATTGGTGCCTTCCTAGAGAATGTTCAAGAGTGATTTTGAATATACCCTCCCCCAACATCGTGTGACAAGTCAACAGGTGCAAAGCACAGACCACAGCAAACTAGAATTCAACCCCCAGTCAGGTATATCCAACTCCACCTCTCAAGTGGTGCTCTAAGCAATGTGGGCCCCAGATGCAGAGTGTGCATCTTAATAGTTTCTTATCCCATGCATTTGATAAAAAATACTTCTCTTCACAACTGCATCCTGATACTATGGCTGATACTGTTACTGCCAACCTCATTTCATAAATAAATCTGAGCCACAGAGTGATGAACTCATTTGTCCAGGGTCATCTGGCTGGTAAGTGATGGCGGTAGCAATAGCAGTGGAGCTGAAATTTCAAATCTAGGCCATGCAGCTGTAGTATCTGTACCCTTCACCAGCATAGTGCTGTTATCAGGTCCGGCCCTGCTCCCTATGCAAAAAGAGAATGGGCCTTGGAGCAAAGTGAAAGCTGCTGTGAGCACCTGTGTCCGCCAGAGGGCAGGTCTGCCAGCTGTGTGCCTGCCCTTCCTCTTCTGGAAGGTTTTTCTTACCTCAGGGTTGTCTTCCCTTTCTCTGCAGCCCTCATGGTGGAATGCTCCTAAAGAAAGGTAGGGACCCCACGAGCCAGCCTTCAGCATCTGCTGCCTCTTTTCCAGGGTTTCCACTAGTTGGAGAAAGCCAAGGAGCCCTAGTTCCCAGCACTAAACATCCTGATGCTTACTGCTCCCTGACTCCAAGGTTCAGGTCAGGGGAGGTCACCCTACCGTCAGTCCCAAACTCAGCCTCCCGAGGCTCTGCTCCTCTTCTGGCATTGGCCAACAGGGACTCTCACTGTTTCTGAAGGTGTGGTATGGTGTGGGCCAGCCACACACCTTGTCCTCCTCCCCATCCCTGCTGCTGAGCCAGAGTAGTAGGCCTTAGTGCAGTGGTGGCAAACCTACATCATGTATGCTGCAGCGGGCTCTTTGTAGTATTGAAAGCTCTAAAAGATTCACCGTCACTGCCTTAGTGTCTCCACACATACACAGCAGCTCCTGTGGCTGTCACAAACATTATGATTATTGCCACCATTTGCTGGGTCCCTCCCCAGTACTTGACAGCCATTATCTGAGTTAACACTTCCAGCTGCCTTGTGAGGTTGGTCATTATCTGCCTTTTACTGCAGGGAATTGCCACTCTGAGAGGTGATGTACTTTCCCGAAGGTCACTGCCAGGGTGAGGGAGAGGGCAGGAGCCCAGATCTGCCTTCCTCTGGTCTGCCCTTCCCACTGAGGCAGATGGATTGCCTCTTCTGCAGTACTCCCCAGTTGTCCTTGTCCTCCCCCATCACCTCACCCCATCATACTCTGCCCCAGAACCAGCTGAGCTGACGTCACTTGAATGGCACTTTGTCTCAGTACAGTACCCAAAAGGTCAGAGAGACAACTTCTTGTGTCAGACGTAGCAATAAAGATGTCAGAGAACACTTACACCCTTCTCTCTGAGGTCTGCAGGCAGAGGCGGAAATAACCCTCTGGTGCCATGAGAGTGTGTGCTTCCATTAGCCTGGTGTGACTGTGAAACTATGCAAGTGACACCTTGTGGGTGCCTATTGATCGTGTGGTCATACGTTTGAGCTGTTATGTGATAGTGCAGCCTGTGTAATTATGACTGGCACTTTGTATGTGCCCATAAGCTGCAGACAGGAGGCAGCTGGCTCATCACTCAAATTTAGGGGTGCATTAGCCTCTTCCTGGGATCAAGCTGGGTTCCCAGACACTGGGTTGGGTACTGCAAGCTTGCACATTCTTCCTTTTTCTTACCACATCACTGGCTTGTCTTGGTTGCTGCTCCCCCTTAGAGCAGGACAGCAGACCCACACCTGTTCTGCCCCCATGCAACCCCTACCCTGGCCCACCCCACAATTGCTTACCACCCCAGAAGCTGCTCAGCCTGAGGTTGAGCGTGTTCCCTGCATGACCAAGGCCAGCACAGTACTTGAGATAGCGCAAAGAATGCAGACTTTAGGTCAGAAAGACCTAGAATCCCTTCGTCCCTCCCTCCCTTCCTCTCCAGTCTGCTGCCAAGTAACCAAGACCAGTTGACTCTCCTGCCCCATGGTCTTTGCCCCTTCCTCCTGACTCACCAGACCTGTCTGCTCTCAGTGTCACTGCCACACGGTCTTTCTATGCCTCGGCCCTGTCATGGACTCACTTTCCTCCAAACTCCCTATAGCTTCTCACTGTCACCAGGTTGGGATCAGTGCTCAGGGTTTAAAGGCTCCTCATCTTCAGCCCAAGCCAGCCTCTGCCCTCTGTGCTTCCCAGCTACAGATCACCCATTGACCCAGACTTCAAACCCTGCCTCAGCTGGCAAGCATTTTCTGACCTGGCCCCAGGAACTTGCTTGCCTTTTTATGGCCTCCAGTGTGTTCCCCATAGAGCCCCAGCGTCTGCCACATCCTAGCCTCCCTCTGACCAGCTGTGGGCTTGAGGAGAGTCCCCTGTGGGGCATGTGGTGGGTGCTTCCATTGTCTCTTTCCTTCTGTCACCCTCCAATGTGGGAGGTGGCTTCCTGGCCGATACCTCAGAAGTGGGACAGGAGGTGACGGCTGTCCACGGTGTGAGTAGGAACAGATGGTGAATAGAGTGCCCCGTTGCAGGATGACACTTCTGGGGAAACAACCATCCACACCCTTGTGCACTTTGCAGCTGCCCCCGGGGCATCAAGGGAAAGAGCCGCCCCATCTGGGGTTGAGCAGAAGAAGAGGGATTCCTCCACGCAAGCTGGACTTGGGCTCAGGCCAACAGGCTTCAAATCCCGACCCGTCATCCACTTTCTGCACTGAGCACTCTTTTGGAGAGCCTTGGCTTCCTCATCTGGCAAATGGACAGGGTCTGAATGCACAGGATCCTTTCTTCTTTTCCTTCCCTGGAAGGGGAAGAAAATAGGAGTTTGGTACAAGGAAGATAGGGCAGGAGGTATGGTATTGGACTGAATAGAAGTTTAGATTTTTCTTTGGCATTTGAGATAAATAGATTCTGTTCTGAAATTTATAGTAGTGTGACTACAGCTGCCATGTCCACCTGGCAATGAACCTGAAAAGTTGTGCTTTCTCTTGAGGTGCCTCCATGGTGTGCCTATACTTACGCTTTTGGCCAGGTACCTTTGTGTATTGCACAACCAGTACAGCTGTACCCAGAAGCCATATATGAACCCTTAGGAAAGTAATGGTTTCTTGACCTCTCTTTATCACTGAGGTCAATTTGCCCATCTATAAAATGGGGTTATACTGTAATTTCTTAGGTATTCCCAGAGCTGATGGGAGATTCATATCCATTACAATGTCTACCTCAAACAGTTCTGGGTTCCTGTAGGAAGGAGAGGCTGTTTATACTCTCTAAAACACATTTACAAGTTTTAAAGGTGAGGCTGTGAAATGTGAACCACACCCTTTTCAAGCTCACACAGATCAGCACTAGCCTCTCCAGGCTCCAAGGTTTGCTGGGGCCAGGGTTGGTTGGAAAGTTCTAGAAAATCTAAAATTTGCAATAGAACTGGCTTTGTCTTCAAATTCCAGATGTGGAAACCAAGGCTCATTGAGGTCGGGCAGCTTTTAAATGGAGGTGTTGGATTCCAGTCCCGGGCTGCCTGACCCAAAAGCCTCCAGATCTGGACCCTACTTCCTTGTCACCTCTAGGGGGTCCTTTGGGATCCTGGTTGAATGGTGAGCTCAGCAGGGACTTGATCAGGATGACCTTGAATGCCAAGCAAGGCAGTGTGGTTTTCGGGTGGGAAGATAAGTGGTAGAGATGGTATGGCCTGGAAGCCATAGAGGGGCAAGAGTTTGCCGGAAGAGGTAATCTTTGGGGGTGGGGAACCTGACAATCTCAGATCTGCCTCCTGCCCATGCAGGAAAGATAGTGTGAGGTTCTGGGGACCAAGCCTCAGAACTCTGGGTGTGGGCCTGGGGCCTAGGAAGGTTGTGGTTCTGAGAGGACCCCAGGAACCAGCAGTTTTCTTACAGGCTTCTGAGGTCCAGTGCCCTCTGTAGAGGAAGAGGGGGCTTGAACTCAGCAAGGACCAGGCTGGGCAGGGCAGCTGGGGACTTAGGAAGAAGGGCTGGCTCCCATTTCCCAGGGCAGATGTCAGAATGGGGTTGGGTAGGGTATGACCCAAAGGGCCAAGGCCTGGGAGCCACTTCCTCTTTCCCACAGGGTGGAGCACTGTCACTCCCACAGTCCCCAGCCTCTCCATCCCTGTGTACACCAGGCAAGCGCTGGGAGGGGGCTGTGGTAGGAAGACACATTGGGAATGAAAACCCCTGACACTGCCACCCCTTAGGAGGGGAAAGACTGAAGAGTTGCAGTGGGTCAGAAAAAAGGGCTCCTCCAACCCCCCAACATTCCCAGCCAAGCCAAATCAAATCCCAGGGCAGATTTAGCCTCACTTGTCATCCGAGACCCAACCCCAATCATAAACCCAACCCCAGCCACGCCTCCAACTTCAGCTGCACACTCAACTCCAATCTCATGACCTAACCCCAGACCAGCTTCCATGTTCGTCATAGTCCCCGCCTCAGGCCCACCCTAGCTGTTCCACAGTTCCAAACCTACCCCTGACCCCCTCTCCCCAACCTCAGCTCCTTTCTAATGCTGACCCTCGTCCAAACCCCAATTTGAACCCTAACTTGAACTCTTACCCTAATGTCTGCGTCAGACTTAAACAGCCACAGTCCCAAGCCCTCACCCAATGCTGACCTTGACGTTCATGTTCAGCCCCGCTCAGTCTACCCAGCCCCGTGCACTCCCACCTCCACCTCAGTTGCACTCCTGGCTGTTAGCAAGGTTTGCCCCATCCCAGCCCTGATCTGTGCTTCCCCGAGTCTGACCTGGCCTCCAGCCCACCTCCCTCCTTGCCTGGCTTCTGCTCCAGCATCCCTGCTCCCATTCTCTGCCCCATACCCATCCCTAACCTTGCCCCAGGGTCTCTCGAGGCCACCATGGACAGACTGTCCAGTCTACCTCTGAGGTACACACACACACACACACACACACACACACACCTGTGTGTACACAGGCCTGCGTGCTTACACAGACACATCTCCGAAGCATGCACACACGCCCCTCAGCATATACACAAAAGCATACACAACACACACAGCTGCAGGGGGTGAGGTGGGGGGTGGGGGTGGGGAGGAGGGCCAGGCCGGCCCTCTGTAGTCCCATCCTCGCTGGGCTCCACTCCATTCAGTCCCTTCTTCAATATTGACTCTGGTGCCCAGGGATTCCTGCCCCACCACCCAGCTGTCCGGGCATCCAGCCAGGTTTGTGGAGCACAGAGATGGAGCCACCACCACCTTTCTCCCGGGCTCCACTCACCATAGGTTACACAATGAACGTGCACTGTGCAGGGCACAGCCAGTCTCAGTGGGACGGCACAGGGGTGAGACACAGTCTCCCTGCACAACAGCAACTGCAGAGGGGACAGATCCCACTGGAGGACGCCGAGGATGGGCAGCACAGGGTGAGGGTGTGCTGTGGCTCAGACACCCGGAGGCTGGTGGAGACCAGGAGCTGCTGCTGCTAAGAATAAACTGAATGGCCCTTCAATGAGCACTTCCTGTGTGCCAGGCACTGGGCCTCACATTCTTAAAACCTCATTGAATCCTCAAAACAGCAACACCCTCCCTACCAGGTAGCTATTAGTATTGCCCCCCCCCCCCCCGCCAGGACACAGGGATACTATTGAGTCTCAGAGAGGGAAAGACTCCTGCCCACATCACAATCAATATGGGGCAGCAGGCGGAAGTTGAATGCAGGCCTGAGAGTGGCAGAGCCGAGTCCCTCTTTAAAATCATAGCTGCCAAACCTGGGAACCACGTTGGTCTGCAGCCTCAGCTGTCACTCAAAGTCATGTGCCCCGACCTCCTCCTTCCCAGGCTGACTTGCATTTCCCTGAATATTCCAGGCCCACGTCACCCTCTGGCTGTCCCAAACGCAACACCCTCTGCACAAAATGGCCCTTTGTCCTGCCCCTCCTCATTCTCCAGGCTTCAGGGCTGGCATGGCCTCTTTGGGGAAGCCCTGCACAGCCCTGTGGCATCATCCTAATTGCTCTGTGGTAGTCACTGTCTGGGTCTGGTCCTCTCCTCAGGGGCAGGGCTGGCTCCACAGGGGTCCCGACCCAGAGTGAACGCAGGACCCAGCCCTACTGTGGTTCAAAGTGGTGCCCAGGGAGGGGCCTGAACTCTGCCAGGCTTGGGTTGATCTTTTATCTCTTGCTCCTTATCTGATGAGTCTGACAGGCAGCAGATGGGATGCTGACAAAGGCTTGAGGTTACTCAGTAACCCTGACCTCTTCAAAAGGCCTGCTCTTCCCGGACATTAGAACCAGTGACCTCTTTCCTGGGTTGTGCTGCCATGAACAGCTTCCTGCTCTCTGCACTGTGGCTCCTTGGCGTCTGGGCTGCCCTGGCAGGAGGGGTCACCGTGCAGGTAAGCCCCCATGCCCACCAGAGATGGAGCACCTGCCAGTATGGGTTTCTCCCCAGCACCTCACCGCGGCCCCTGGGAGGAGGGGGTTCTTAGCCCCACTCTACAGAGGGAAATTGAGCCTCAGAGAGGTTCTGTAAGGGCCGGGGACACCCTGCTGGGAAGTGAAGGAGCTAGATTCAAACCCAGGCCTTATTCCTTAGCCCTGTGCTCAGCTAGAGGTTGTATGGGACTGTGGAATCGTGGACCTCTCAGAGGTCCTGATGGATGAGTGTGGCTACTGGGTGACACCATCCACAGGCCTGACTGGTACCCAGCAGGGCTTCTACTCTAGGAGAGGCTCATGGAAGCGGGGTTTTTTAAAAAATAGGATCTCACCATGTAGCCCAGATTGTCTTCAAACTCGGAATCCTCCTGCCTCAGCCTTCTAAGTGCTGGGATTACAACCCTGCACCACCACACCCGGCCCTGGAGGATTTTATTGCTTCCCAAACAGAAATCAAGCAAATGCTGGAGGTGGAGGGGCAGCCACAGTGCTCTTGGGAGAGGAAAATGGCCAGGCACATCCATATGGAAGGACGTGTTCTCGTCCTGAATTCTGCGTCTCTACACCCATTTTCGCCTTCCTCATATGACAGCGTGCAGAACCTGAGGCCTGCAGCGTGCACGGGGTCACACAGTGAAACCAGGAGGGCAGGCGGCAGCTCGGGACCCCACTCTGTCCCCGGGGGCGTTCTTCCCTGGGCTGGGCCCACAGTACTGGGACGCGCCAGGCCTCACGCTCAGCTGTTTCTCTCAGGATGGAGATTTCTCCTTTCCTCTGGAGTCAGTGAAGAAGCTTAAGGACCTCCGGGAGATCCAGGAGCCCGCGGTCGAGGGCCGAAGGAAGCTTGTGGCTCTGCCGCTCTGCAGCCACCCAGGGTTTCCCGAAGAGCTCCGGCTTGTCTGCAGGGAGCCCAACGCCCCGGACATCCTGCACCGGCTTGGTGAGCGGGGGCCCGGGGATCCTTGAATGGCGGCTCTTGGGGAAGAGATGCGCTCTGATTGGCGGGGTTCAGAGGAGGAGCTCGGCTCTGATTGGTGGGTCTGTAGAGCCCTGCTTGGATTAGTTCCAAGTGATAATTTGGGAATGGTGGGTAGGTAGCTCTGGGCGCCATCGCCTGGGCCTAGCAGTATCTCCTTTCTGCGTAGAAGCTCTGCTCTGAGTGGCTTCCTTGAGTGGTCCATAGGGCCTTGTTTGGGGCGGAAATCCCGGCGGGTCAGAGAGGACAGTTCCTGGGGGATGCGGGTAGAGGACGCCCGAGCCCTGGCTGAAAGGAAGCAGGGGGCTTCGGGGAAGGGGAAGCTGGTGTCACCAGGCCTCATCTCTCCCGTCCAGAGGCCATCGCTCAGGACCCGAGCACGTGCGAGATCTGTGCCTACGCCGCCTGTGCCGGATGCTAGGGCAGCATTGCTTGCTGTCTTCCCTACTCTTCAGGGAAACCCTTTCTTCTGCTGGAAAGGCGACCCGTGATCCTCCCACTCCAGCAATTCAGCCTACCTTGCCCCATAGTGGAGGGATGAGGGGAGAGCCTCCCAGAGAGGGGCTGCGGGATGGAGGCCCCAGGCCTGAGACCGAGCTTTCCAAGATCCGCTCCAGCTCTCAGCTAATAAACCCGATTCCAGAGTACTCCTGCTGTTGCTTTCGTTCCTTCCTTCACCCACCAGGCTGGCCACTGCCCAACTTTGTGGCTGCCTATCCTGGCCTGGGCACCTCGGGGGTCAGTGTGCAGCTCCCTAACAAGCTACCCACCCCGGCCCCCCGGGGACTGCCACCGCACACGGGTAGGGAGGAGACCTGAACCTCTAGGCCATCCCTGGGGAGGGTAGTCTTTCCTTCACATCTCCTAAGGTCACCAAAGGCACCGAGCTACACGTTGCACAGGAGCCTGTCTGAACAGGTTCACGATGACATCAGTGTCCAAGTCTTGGTATCCAGGCCTACCCCAACCCCACCCAGGATCCGGCTCCCTCTGACCACATCAGCTTGCCTCCCGCCCTCCCGGGGGATCCCATTCAAGCTGTACCTCTGATCCCCTCACTTCTGCCCTGACCAGCCCCCGTCGGCTGAGTAAACTACTCAGGCTCCACGGCCTTTCCTCAAGACACCATTCCTGATTTCCCCCATGGGAAAAAAATCGTAACTGTTCCCGCCCTGTCCTTGGTGCTACGGGGGCACTTTGATCACCCACACTGCTTGCACAGCTCTGTCCACCTGGCTGTGTAATGGCCTCTGTGCCCTAGCAAGGCTGCCTGCCCCAGGCACGGAGAAGTCTACCCACATGATGCTTGCATGAGGATGTAAAAGGGCAGGAGGAAGCTGGGGCTGCAAGGTCCCTGCCATAGGCTCCAGCCCTCCATCTTCCACATCCTGTGTGATGTTAAGAAAATTGCTTCCTTTCTCTGTGCCTCAGCCTCCTTCTCTGTAAAACTGGGCGCCTGATAGTACCTGTCTCCACGCTGGGTGAGATGATGTACTTCACACCCCTAATTCAGAACTGGGAGAAACATAAGAGGAATTCAGTAAGTGGTAAAAACAAACCAAAGAATAGGGGTTAGGCTGAGAATGGCTCAGACAGGAGTGGAGAGGGGCGGTGGGAAGTGAGGCCAGTTAGGGAGAGTCTAGAGGACAGAGAAAGAGAAGACAGCCAAGGTGCGGAATGGGGTGGAGAGAAAGCGCCACAAGGGATCCAGGCAGGATTCCCAGGGGCTGTGGGGTTGATTCAGGGGGTGATTCCCTTCTGGCTGAGATCAGGAGGGCTTTATGAGGGAGGAGAAGAACCACATTTTCATTAGCTCCTGGGATTTGCTTTGGGACAGATGGATTTCCAAATCCATGTGGAGGTAGGAAGAGAAACTTTCAGAATACGGGGACATGCACAGAGGAACTGGGATAGCTCAGTGTGGACAAGACAGAGCCTGAAAGGCAAAAAGGAGTGAAACTGACATGTTATTCACAAGCTGTGTGTCCCTCTCTGAGCCTTGATTTTGTCATCTGGAAATGGGGAGGACGACAGGCCCTGCCTCCAGGTTTGCTGGGGGATTTGATAAGAATGGCAGGTAGAATCCTTCAGTCCTTGAACTGTGGAGCCGACACTGGCCATGACTCCAGGCTCTGCCTGTGACAGCTGTGCGACTTTGGCAGAGAATCCTTTAGTTTCCTGTTCTGCAAAGTGCGGGTGGCAAGAAGGTCCACTGTGTGCACCTTAGTGGAGCTTAACTGAGGTAACACTGGAAATGCTCTTAAAGCTTCACCAGTGGGTCAAAGAAATGAAAAGGAAAATGGGAAGATGTCTTTAGACATATGAAATTGAAAACAGCTTATCAAAATGGGATACAACAGGGGCTGGGGATTTAGCTCAGTGGTTCCGCCGCCTGCCTCAAAAGCACAAGGACCCGAGTTCGATCCCCGGTACAAAAAAAAAAAAAAAAAAGATGGGATACAGCAAAAGCAGTGCAAAGAAGTAAGTTTGTAACAATGGATGCCTACGTGGAAAAGGAAGAAATATCTTAAATAAACAACCTAACATTAAAACTCAAGGAACTAGGAAAAGAATAAACAAACCCCAAAGTCAGTCAAAGAAAGGAAGTAATAAAGATCAGAGCAGAAATAAGTGAAACAGAGACTAGAAAACAATAGGGAAGATCAATAAAACAGTTTTCAAAAAAATATATATAAAAGTGACAAATCTTTAGACTAAAAAAAAGAGAGGACTCAAATAAAAGCACCAAAAACTTTCTTTGTAGATCAGGAACAAGACAACGATATCTACTCTTGCTACTGTTCTTCAACATATTTCTCGAAGCCAGAATAATTAGGTAAGAAATTAAATTTAAAAAGGCATCCAACTCAAAAGGGAAGAAATTCAATTGCTTCTTTTCACAGATGACATAATCTTACATATAGAAACCCTCAAGACCCCACCAAATAACTTATTAAAACAAATAAACTCAGTAAAGTTGCAGGATATAAAAATTAACATACGAAAATCAGTAGTATTTCTATGCATTAACAATGAACCGTTCCGAAACAACCCAAATTGAGTAAATGTCATTTATGAAAGAAAAAGGAAGAAGAGCAGGGGAAGGAGGGAGGAGGAGGAGAAGGAAGGAAGGAAGGGAAAAGGAGGAGGGGGTGGAGAAGGAGAGGCGGAGCTGCTCCACTGGCCCAGGACTTTGTGCAGCTTTGTGTTTTGTGTGGCCGCTGAAGGCACCGCTTTTGTGTAGTGCCACCTCACCTGCGTGTGGTAGGTGCTGTGTCTTTACCAGGTCCCTTTGCTCTCTCCACCAGGTGGGTGGGGACACAGTGAACTGCAGAGGAGTGATGAGCCCAGAGGGTGCCTGCGCACAGGCTAGACTTGAGAGGTGGCCCTGGGAGCCACAGCAGGGTTAGACAGTGCCTGCTGTTCCCCTGGGTGAAGTGCCAGCTCTGGCTGGCCTGAGTGATGGCAGAGGTGGGTCTAGGGGCCTGGAGAGCTGCAGCAGGCTGTACACAGAGTCCTAGCCACAGGGGAGGGAGAGGAAGAGGCTAGAGCTCTGGGGGGCAGCAGGACTGGGCAGTCAGGGCAGGCAGCAGTCAGGATTCGCCATAGTCTCGGAGACTGGCAGGATCAGATCCCTTGCAGGGAGCTTTCCTCTTCCCCGCCTCTCAGGATGAGGGCTGAGGAAGGGGCCACTCTGGGGAAAGGCCCTGCTCCTGGGAATTGCTAACACTGCTCCTGGCTTGAAGCCAGGCCATGGAGGCTGCTGTGAGGATGCGATGGCTCCCCCAGGCCCTGCCTTCTGTGTCATCAGCTGTGGGTGACACAGAAAGACAGGAACCATGGCAGTCAAGAGTTCGGCCCCTGGTCTGGATGTGCTGGAAGGGCCTGCTTGGCCATTTTGCAAGTGTGTGATGCCAGACTAGGGATTTCTTTCTCTGCACTTGACTCCTTATATGTAAAGAAGATGGGGATGGCAATCACATGGACTCCTCGGACCCGAGGACTCAGAGTTACATGTGCGGTGTTTAGAACAGTGCCGGGGATTCAGCACATGCTCAGTAAATCTTGGCTATTGTTCATACTGCTCATAGCCACAGGCTGAGAGAGAGAGGAGGTCTCCCAGCTGGAGCTCGGGGAGAGAGGACAAAGGCAAGGGGTGAGGACAGTCTGGCCCTGACAATCAGTCTGGAGGGGCACCTGAGACTTCCTCCCATTTCTTCCCCTCCCCATCAGGAGCACAGGAGCTCAGGCTGCAAAACTTTGGGGCTGTGGGTTCAGCCCGAGGATCCCAGAGCCTGGGTTGTTCTGTGAGCTTGGGCTCCCTTATCTATGAAAGAGGTTTCCTGAGTCAACTCCTCAGGCCTTGAAACCTCGGGGAAATTCCTGCCTGTTATCTTCTGCCCAACCTTTCTCCTCCACCCACCCAGATTCCCAGTACCTCCACCCATCGCTCCTTGTGATGGACAAACAGACACTTGGCTCTGTGTGGGAAGAATCTTTATTCAGAAGCAGGGCTGCAGGGGCTAAACTGTCCTTGGATCCAGCTGCTTGGGCCCGGGAAGGTGGCCAGGCTTCTCCGCTGTGCGTGGTGGGGGTAGTGCATGGGCAGCGGGGCTGGGAGGGCAGGTGCCCAGAGTCATCTCAGCAGCCGGTACAGGCGATGTTCACACACAGCTCACACTCGTCATTGTCTATGGACCCTGGGTGGAGAGGAGGTCAGTCAGCTAAACCTGAACCTGAACCTGGGAGGCCTATGGTTGCCTCGGAGCTACTGGCCAGGCTGCAGAAAGTGGCTACCTAGGAGAGGTTCTGGACCATCCTTCCAGCAGGAAGCTGGGAGTGAGGCCCACTGTTACTGGGCAAGGTACTCCTGCTCTGGGCCCGAGTTCAGATTCTTGTCTGCTACAAGGGCAGGTCATCCTGACAGGGCACTAGAGGGAATTCAGGCAAAGGGCCCAGCACAGAGTGGCGACCAGCAAATGATGGAATTCTGCTGCCCAGCTCTGCTATACCCTCTGATTTCAGCTTAGCTGCCTTCTCTCCTTGGAAGCCTTTCAGCCCCTCATCCCATCAGATGCAGAGCATCTCTGTATTCCCATACTCACTGTCTATGGAAGGGCTGCTCTCTGGGCTCCCTTCCCTCCCTTCTGTGGAGTCTTAGAGGGACTCCCGATGGCTAAGGGAGTTTGAAAGTCTGACTTTCTGTGTCTAAACCAGCCCACTGCTGGGGACGGCAAGGGTTGGGATTCTGGATCCTCCCTTCCTGCAGCAGGTGACAGAGGAGCTTGTGTGGAGCAGGACAGAAGGAGGGACAGGAGGCTCTACAGGGTGGGGGACACTTACTGAAGCCCTGAATGATTCTGGCAGCATCCTGGGAGGCACAGACAGGCTGGAGATCGAGGGGCAAGGCAGGATGGTAGCACACAAGGGGCAGGGGCCTCTGGGCCTGCAGGCGGGGGCTGGGCACCCACTGTCCCTCCAGGTCCTTCAGCTTCTTCACTGATTCCAGCTGGACCTGGAAGCCTTGGTACTGTGGGAGGGATGGTGAGAGGGGTCAAGTCTTGGGACAAGGGCAGGTCTGCCATGAGACCCAGGGGTCCTTGAACCCTACAGATCCTCTGGACCCTCCCCTGACCTCAGGGAAAGTCCAGGCCATGCTGGAAAGAGCAGCCCCAGGAGGCAAGTAGTGTCTGACCTCCTGAGCCATTTGCACACACCCTGCCCCAGGCTATTGGGAGCTGGGGAGGAGTCCACACGAGCTGGACACTGTGGACCAAGACCTGGGTGTTAGAGATGAGTGGACCGTAGTTCAAATCCCACCTCTGCCCTGACCGGCTGGTGCTCGTGCCATCTGACCCTTAGCTCCCTCATCACCCGAAATCCCCCTGTGGGGCCTGGTACCCCGCCGCACTTGTGTCCTGGTCCTCTTCTGGAGCTGACCTGATGACGTGATGGCGACCTCAGGCTGGCTGGGCTGCTCTCTCAAACCCCTCCCAGGACCCCTTCATTCTCCTGGGGAGACTTTGCCCCAATCAGGCATGTGATGCCAGGGCTGGAGCTCCCCAGTTGGCAGAGGCCAGTGGCACCCTGCTGCCCGGTAGGCAGGCCCTGATTCCATGGCCTCCTCCCACCTCACAGCCCCCGGCAGGACCCCTGCAGCCCTGCCACCTTCTCTCCAGGCCTTTGTCTATGCCACACCCTCTGCCTGCTGTGGATCCACTGGGCCTGGTGCCTCCTGCTCATCCTGTGTTGTCCTCAAGAGATACCTACCGGGGAAATTGCCTATGGCCACTGCTCCCCCCATGTATGGATGAACACTCAGGTGTGGAAGCCTAAAAGGGGGGATCTCCTTCCTTACAGGCTCCTGTTTCATCCCACGTCATGTTCTATGTTCTGAGCCCTGGGAGCTGCACCAGTCTTGGAGGAAGCAGTGCTGGATAAACAGCGGGTTGCTCTTATCTCCCTCATTGTCACCATCAGGGTCACTATCAACATTCTGCTGCTCCCACACACCAGCTATCTGGATCTTGGCTGTGACTGGTGTCAGGCAGAAGGGCAGTCAGGCCCAAGAGACTCACCTTGATGTAGACTGACTGTGTGCCCTGCAGCAGCAGCAGCAGCAGCAGCAGGACCATAGCCACCCCTGGCAGGTGTCCCAACAGGGTCCTGCTGCCCATCTTGCTCCCTCTGTGTCCCTGCCGCCGCTGTCCACCTGGCTCCCACCTGCTTCCTGGCTGGCAGCTCTTTATAGGACAGGCTTCAGAGGCCTGGTCACTCATTAACTGGCCAGCGCGGGTGGGGTTGACAGAAGTTTGGCTCCCTGACAAACCCAGAGCAGGTTCCCAGGAAGGGGGCTGGAGTATAAGGATAGGTAGCCCAGAGCACAGGCACATGGGAGTGGTCTTCGAAGTGCCTGCCCTGTGCAGGGCTCTCTGTGAAGGCCTAGGATGCTCCACTTTCCTTTGGCCTTTCAGATACGCAAGTGTGGAAAGAGAGGGAGACCGTTTTAGTCAGGGAAAGCGAGCCCCATGAGGTAAAGTGACCTGCCCAGGTCACAGAGCTCATCAGTGGCAGAGCAGGGACTCCAGCCCGGTGTCTTTGGCCCAGGTCAGCCCTTGATTCTTTCTCTGGGTCAAGGAAGCGCAAAGACAGATGGGTAAGGGCAAGGCAGGCAGACATAGGACTGACATCAGGGCTCCTCAGGGCCCACCTATGGAAGACCATCATCTCTCCCACTCCCATCCCTAGTCCTGTTTGGGGGCTGTACTTCCGACCAGTTCTCTACCAGGCCACTGCCTGCTATCTCCCATCCAGGCCTGTCTGCCCTCCGCCATGTGTGACCCATGTCACCTGTCTAAACCAGCATGGAGTCATCCTGCTGTGACCCTGTGATCTTGGACAAGTCACATCGAGTCAGACTGAGCCTTTGTTTGCTCTTCCATCCCCATGGGCACACAGAGCTAAGGGAGCACAGTTGGTGTGGAGGTGATGGCGGCTGTACCCTGCTGGAGCTCCCCATCATCTCCTGGGCAATATGCGGAGCAGGTCCGTTAACCTGACAGCTGCCTTCTAGGCTGTGAGTAATCCCACTGCCTCTGCCGATGAAGGTTGGATCAGAGAGATGAGGGCAAAGTCTCCAAGGGCAATATCACCATGGCCAGACCAGGCGGCTATAAACAGTGCACGTGCCAGGCACACTCTAGCCTGGGTAAGCACCCCGTGCATAACATTGATTGGAGGTCCCCACTGCCCATCTTGGCATCTAAGGTGCCACTCTAAGTTGGTGGCTAAAACTGGAAATCACCATGCTCCATCATACCAGCCTTATCTATAAGTGCCTGATCCAATCTCCTGTTTTCCCTATGCCCGAAATGTATCTCTGTCTCTGTCTCTGTCTCTGTCTCTCTCTCTCTCTCGTTGAAAAAAAAATGCTCAAGTGAATTTTGGAATTTCCTGTGTCTTGCTTTGAATCCAGACTTCAGCCCTTGCTCTTTAGAGTATGAAGATACTATCGGATTCTTTCATGCTTTCTCATCTGTAAAATGAGAATAACCACTGGATAACAATCACTCTCATATCTACTACGTGCCAGGCACAATGCTGTAGTATGGGTGTAATGCCATTTAATCCCACAGGACAGGTGTAGTGATTGTCCCCATTTTACAGATGAGTGCCCTGAGGCTCAATACGGTACCCTGTTTGTTGTTGTTGTGGCAGTAGATGGGATGAGCCAGTTTTCTATTTAGAAAATTCTCCCCTCTGCTCAGAAAAAGCAGCAGGCTTTGGAAGCAGGGAGAGCTGGGTTCTAACCCAGACTCCAGCAGTCATAAGCTCTGTGACCTTGGACACTTTACTCAGCTTCTCTGATCTTCTGTTTCTTCACCTGTAAAGTGAAGAACATAATGAACAAACACCCTTACAGTGGTGGTCCTGGGAGACCTTCAGATTTCCCTGCCCGGCCTCCCCCCTAGAGCCTTCCCAGACAGATCCCAACTCTGCAACTGCAGCTGAACAGTTCTGACCTCTGCGCTTCTCAGCTGAACTTGATGCCATTCTGTCCAGCACAGAGTATGACCAATGGTTGTGACCTTGATAATCTCTGTGATCTCAAATTCTCATTTGAAAGAAGGTGACCCATCTCCAGCACTGGAAGTTGTCTCCAGGCCACTTGAACCCAAGCCTATGCTCTTTCTGTCAGCCTTAAGGGATGCCAGGGGTCTCACCACCCCCGGCCCTGGCACATGGAGGAACAAGGCCCAAGCCTGTGGGGTGTGGAAGGCCTTGTGCCTGTGACTTCCCTCCCAGCTTCACCCTCTGGCTCCTCCCACCAGGGCCTCTCACTTGTCAGTCTTTCCCTGGGAACAAGGTACAACTTTCTTATCTGCTTGACAGGACTCAAATTCCTTGTTCAAACCCATCTCTTCCTAATCTCTCCACGAATGACCCATCCATCAAAGCCAACATGGCCATAGACTCGATGCTTCATGGCACTCCCCACCAGGCCAGGCACAATGACGCCTGTTCTCAGGGTGCTTCCCTCTTCGTGGATGTGGGAAGGGATGGTTATGCTGGGCTATGGAAGCCTCACAGGGACACAGGTGGGTGACAGTTTGCCCCTGCATATTTGAGTTGCTCCTCATCTCCGCACTGGGCCCTGGTCCATGCTCACTGCTGCAGGGAGCCTGCAACACCCTGTCCCACCTAGCAGCTTTCCTCATAGTTGACCACTCCATCTTTCCTCCTTCATTTGTTTTCTGGGATACACACTTTCCTGGTTGAATGTCTCTCAAACTGGCTCTGTCTCCTCAGTTTTTCAGTTGGTTTTTCCTACTCTTCTTGTGCCCTGAATGTTAGAATACCTCAAGGGCACCCAGGATCAGCCCTTGGACCTCTGACCATGTTTTGCCTTCTTCCCAAAGGTTCAAACTGTCATCCTTGGACTCATGGATTATTGAGACATTTTTAACAGGCAAAGTTCTCCAGAGAAACAGAATCAACAAGTTCTGTTTATTTATATACTTGGTTTGATCAAACAACATAGTCAATATTTGAATTTTTAAAAGTTTATTATAGTGGCTGGGGATTTAGCTCAGTGGTTCTGGTGCCTACCTTGCAAGCACAAGGTCCTGAGTTTGATCCCCCATACCAAAAAAAAAGTTTATTACAGTAGAAGACACATTGCTATGAACCCCCTCGAAATACTCCTCCACACTTATACCACACTTATTTCATTGCTTTTGCCACTTGCTGAAGCAGTTCTGGAAGTCCTCTTTCCTGAGTGTCTTTAGTTGCACCTTCGTGGCTGCCTCAGTGTTCTGAATCAGTTCAAAATGCTTATCTTTCATGGTCACTTTGACTTTGGGGAAGAGTCAGAAGTCACACAGTGCCAGATCCAGTGAATAAGAGGGATGAAGAGACACTACAGTGTTTTTTGCAAGCCTGCCTTTCTGTTGGATGGATCATATCTTGTAAAGACACTTATAAAAGAAGACTTCCAAACTGCTTTGTATGGTGGCAAGGAAGATGGGATAAGTGTTTCTGAAGAGGGTAGAAGGGATTTTGAAGGGAAATTAATGGCAATATGTTTTTTACTGTAATATACTCTTAAAAATTAAATGTTCACTGTATATTTTGATCACACCCCTATCTATCTATTCAGCTATCTATCTACTACCTATCAATCTTCCATCTGGGTTTATTTAAAGGAATTAGTGGTGATCATCAGGGCAGGCAAGTCTGAAACCTGTAGGGCAGGTTAGCAGGCTAGATATTCAGGTCAGAGTTGATATTGGTCTGCAGTGAATTCTTACAATTTTATGATGCCTCAGCACCTGTTTTAAATGTAAGCTGAACTTTCTCACACCAGAAGCAGGGCTTGGTCACTCTTGACAGTTTCCAGTTTTATTGTCCTTCCCGACCAATTCCTCAGTGTGATTGATCTCAATTTCTACCTTACACAACTGCTCCCTTCCTGGTGATCATTTTTCTATGGGGCAGCTAGACACAGCCTGCCTGACGAGTCCACCCACACGGCCCCCAGGGACTGCAGATATGTCACAGTAACCACCTCTTAGCCAGTGTGACCGCCTGGAATTTGTGCCTGCTTGCATTAAACCTACCAATTGCTGGGTGTGGCAGCACATGCCTGTAATCCTAGTACTCTGGAAGGCTGAGACAGGAGGATCACAAGTTCAAGTTCAGCCTGGGCAATTTAACAGCTTAGAGAGAACTCTCAAAATAAAAAATAGAAAAGATCTGGGATGTAAGTCAGTATAAAAGTCTTGGGTTCAATCCTCAATACCACAAAAAGAAAAGAGAAGAAAAGAGCAGAACCGAAAAAACAACTAAAACTAAACCACCAACTAAAACTCGCTGCAGGAAACCTGTTGGGATCACATCCTAGATCAGTGGTGGTCAGCCTTTTAGAGCTTTCAATGATACGAACAGCTGCTGTGGAACGCATGCCATAGGTTCACACCACTGCCCTAGGTGGTCCTCAAACCATGTCAAAAATTATTTTTCTTGAGGTCTTTGCTCTTCATACACATATTGGCATGAGTCACCCTGCAGTCCCTCCAGATCTCTGCTCAAATGCCACTTCCTCAAAGACATCTTTCCTCATTACCCTACATCAGAGAGCTTCCCCATTACTCCTAATCTCCTTAACTTGCTTTCTTTTTGCACATCAGATATATATCAGATATATATATATATAATACATATCTGATATATATACATATTCCAATACTTACGTCTTTCTACTAGGATGCAAGTGCTATCAGACTTAGAATTTTGCTTGTTTTGTTCTCCCCAAACAAAATCCAGCATATAAATGGTGCTTAACAAATAGTTGACGAATTGAATAAATGGATATGATTCACATATCTATTCCATCAACCACTAGATGTTTAATCTTGGACAATTTCCTACTTTTCTGAGCTATAATTGCCTCATCCAGCAACTTCCTGGCATGTGGTGTGTGTTCAAAAAGTGTTTGCTCTTATTGTCTTCTTAGTTGTGAAATCATTTCTGGAAATTAATCCTTTGTGTATCTCTTGTGCATAGAAGTCCCTAGGGCATTCAATAATTTAATGGGATATTCGATGATGGCTTATTGTGTGCTAAACACCAGTCTAAGCAAGAGAAATACAGCAACTAACAAAACAGATGAACTCACTGCCTGCAGGACAGTGAGATGACCTGGGGTGGGGTAGA